TCATTATGAGTCAGAACCAACTCGATGGCACCCAACACCACCACCACCTATATAACCATATGCTTGGCCTATTTTGTTCTCATTCAAGCTTGGTGGGGTTTTTTTCTTTTCAATTTTTGCATTCAGAAATTATTTAGTTAAATCTTAAGTTAGGCCTGGTGACTTCTGGCCATTTGCCTATGATATCTCACCTGTATTTCGAGGCCAGAGTGCAAATTTTGTAGTCCAGCTTCCATCTTTTGTGGACCTTGAATACATTTCTCTAGCTATTATCAGATGCCTGAAATTTGTTATTCACACCTTTTGCTAACACTAGGTAACAAATTAATCTTTTCCTAGAACTGCATGAAATACTGTGGTACCATAAATTTGCTTGATATGGCTTTTCTATCCAAAGTTTTCTTTATTCCCACCAAATGATTGGTTGAGACCAAGCAAATAGGGTGTTGTTGTTGTTAAGTGCCGTTGAGTCAGTTCCGACTCATAGTGACCCTGTATAGGGTGTCTGAGGAACAGCTGGTGAGCTTGAACCATGGACTTTGCAGTTCAAACAGCTTAGCAGTCTGGCGCATTAATCCAAAATACCACACCAGGACTCTTTACAGGGCTCTAATATCAGAATTGATTAGTTTTGCCATCCCACTAGCTTTAAAAGGAGCCATCTCAGAAGCATGAACAGACGCTTCCAGGGTCATCACAAAAGAAGAGCTATGAGTGGAGTGTGAGATTCTTACCTGGTAAAGCATTGGCAGAGGTGGTGGCATGGAGAGACAGAGCAGCTGTGGGCTTCCTGGCCCAAGGACAGAGTAAATCTGAGTGCCTATGGGCAGGAGGCTGGCTTGCATAATGTGCCCTTTGGACATTAGATTGGCTAAAGGGACTGTGCAACACTTGCCTGAGCAGACAGAGGCTGAAGGACCACAAGACTGAGAAGCCAAAAACAAAAGTGAGGTGTGCCTACAGGATGGCAGAGAAGAGGCATTCCTGACTGGAGAACTGTTACAATCTTAGTTGTTTCTGATCTTGAATTGTACCCTGTTCACTTCCTTAATAAACACAATAATCTTGAGTATTGTCTCTGAGCTCTGTGTGGCCACTGCAATGGATAATTGAATTCACATGTGAAGCAGAAAATGCTATGAGAGGCATGGTTGGTGTTAGAATAGGGTAATGAAGGTTGAAGACTGGAAGCATGTCTAACTTCCAATTCATAGGAATCAGACTTGGGCTGGTGTTGACTTTAATTCTCCTTCTACCCGATGAAGCCAGAGGAAATCAAACATGGCTTCCATGCTGTTTTTGCAAATACAATCAAAGACTTGGCAAAGACAAAAACAAACTTGGCAATCCAGTAGTGTGTTGTCCTTAATAAAAATATTCCCATGGTCTTCACCAACAATTAAGGAGGATGCGTCTATAACTGTCTTTATGATTTTCATCATGTGGCTTGATTGGGTTATAATTAACTTAGGCCAAAGAAAGATAATCTTCTCTAGCATCTAAATCCTATGAATTTGATGTCATTTTTCGTTTCTAAAACCAGAATTGTTTTTATCTTTGTCCTTCTAGCTTATATGGCAATTTTGATCTATCAGTAGTTGGGTCAGACACAACCAAAGATCAGTGATGTAATATCTTCACAATAATAACTAGAAGATCTGGAGGCCACCCAGCATCCTTCTGGCACATTCAGTTGCGTCTTTACAATACAATGACGTTCCCGATTACAAAAAAAGTTCATGCATTAAAGCCAAAAGGTGCAAATCAAAATTATGATACACTTACTCCTCAACCCTATAAGAATGACAGTGATTTTATTTTTAATAAAGGGAAACAACAGATGTTGTTGAGGTTATGGAGAAAATGGAACATTCATTCATTCATTACTGGTGGGAATGTGAAATATGTTGTTAGATGCTGTCAATCGATTCTGATTCATAGCAACCCTGTATCAGGTTTCTGAGGAGCAGCTGGTTAAGTCTGAACCAACAACTTTTCAGTTAGTAGTCCAGTGCTTATCCTACAGCACCAAACCAGGACTGGGTAAAATGGCATGGTAATGGTGGTCACGTGCCATCAAATTGGTTCCAACTCATAGTGACCCTGCATAGAAAGTCTCATCTGTCTCCCAAGGAGCAGCTGGGGTGCTCAAACTGCTGACCTTGTGGTTCGCAGTCTATTGCTTATCCTAGTTGCTGTAAAAAACAGTTCAGTTCCATGTGTCTTCAAAAAGTTAAACAAAGAATTATCAGACGACCTACCTAGCAATTCCAACCCTGGGAATATAACTAGAAGTGAAGGCAGATATGCAAATAGAAACCTATAGAATAAAGTTAATTGCAGCACATTTCACAATAGCCAGAAGCTGGAACAACTGAAATATCCAGCAATTGGTGAATAGTGTGGCGCATACATATAATGGGATACTACTCAGCTATAATGAGATGGATTGGCCAGGTGGCATCATTGATGGACTCAAGTGTGGCAGCGGTGGTGAGGTTGGCCCAGGATCGGATATTGTTTCGTTCTGCTGTGCATGGGGTCGCTATGAGTCGATTCCGACTCAATGGCATCTGACAACAACAAAACTCAGCTATAAAGAAAAATGACGTCTTGGTGCATGCTGTAATATGGAAGAGACTTGAACACACCATACTGTGTAAAATCAGTCACAAAGAAGGACAATATTGTATCATTCTCATTTACTATGGTACGTCAAAATGTATTGCTACAAAATAATAGAAGCCTTTATTAAACAAAAATATTGTGAAAAAGTGTGAAGCTATCAGCACTGGACTGCTAACCATAAGGTTGGTGGGTTTGAACCTTTTATAGGGTCACTATGAGTTGGAACCAACTCAACAGCACTTAACAACTGGCCTATACACTTATGCAGGTAATATTTCCATCTCTCTTAAAGGAGCTCTGGTAGTGTAGTGGTTACGATTCGGGCTGCTAACCTCAGGGTCATCAGTTTGAAACCACCAGCTGTTCTGCAGGAGAAAGATGAGGCTTTCTGCTTCCTTAAAGATTGACAGCCTTGGAAACCCTGTACAGGGTCACTGAGTTGGAACCAACTCCACAGCACATAACAAGGTTTCCTCAGTGAATTCTGCATTCTGATTTACCATGTCAAAACTCCTTGAGGGATTCAAAACTAAGAGAAATCTTAAGGGGCAAGTTCAGGTCTGTAGGGTGGATGGGAATGAACAGGTGCACTATCATAATGGAAAAGGAAAAATTCCTTGGCACCAACTTTCCTGGCTTATTTCTCACCAATGCAGTTTTCAGCTTTCTAATGAGCCTGTCATCATCCTATGTCCTCCGAGAAAATCTATCAAGATTACTCCTTTGGGATCCCCCAAAATAGTCACCCTAGCTTCCAAGCTAACCTCTCTGCCTTGAACTTAACTGGTCCATAGATCCCCTTAGAAGACTCTACTTTTATTAGACCTTGTTTTTGAAGGCAATGAGTGAACTTGTCTGCAATCATCCAATGATAAGAGACATATTTAAGTACATTTTTGTTTGGAATAATGCATTTGAACTCTAAGTCAATAAGCACTGATTTTTTTTTTTACTTATGCTCATGCATGAATAAGCAAATATATAGAAACCAGAGTACTATTGGCTATGAGATGGAAAAAGGCATCCTGGTAACACAATGCTTAAATGCTTGTTTGCTGATTTAAACCCACCCTACACTTCTCCATGAAAGGAGCTCTGGTAGTGTAGTGGTTACGAATCGGGCTGCGAACCTTAAGGTCAGCGGTTCGAAACTACCAGCCGCTCCGCGGAAGAAAGATGAGGCTTTCTACTCCCGCAAAGATTTACACCCTCGGGAACCCTGTACAGGGTCGCTATGGGTCGGAACCGACTCGACGGCACTTAACAACAACAACAACAACTTCTCCATGAAGGGGTCCTGGTGTGGCGCTGTGGGTTAATGTGCCAGACTGCAAAGCCATTTGAATTCTAAGATTGGCGGTTCAAGCTCACCAGCTGCTCTTCGGAAACCCTATACAGGGTTGCTATGGGTCGGAACCAACTTGACAGAACAACAACATATCTATGGAAGAAAAGACCTTGCAATCTTTATAGATTACAACCAGGAACTCCTATGGTACAATTTTACTCTTTTTGTTGTTGTTGTAAAGTGCCACTAAGTTGGTTCTGACTCATAGTGAACCTGTATAGTGTTTGCAAGGGGCGGTTGATGTGTTTGAACCATCAACCTTGCAGTTAGCAACCTAGTGCTTATCTTACAGTGTCACACAAGGACTCTGTCCTATAGGTTGCTATAATCAATTTGTTTATCATATTGTTATGTGCCATGGAGTCGGTTCTGACTCATAGCAACCCTGTACAGGGTTTCCGAGGCTGTAAATCCTTACGTGAACAGAAAACCTCACAGCAGAAAGCCTCACCTTTCTCCCAAGGAACAGCTGGTAGTTTCAAACTGCTGATCTTGTGATTTGCAGCCCAATTTGTAACCACTATGCTACCAGAGCTCCTTGCTGTAATCAACAGAAGAGCACAAAACAACAGCAGAGGTAGGAGGAAGGGAGAAAGGGTTAGTTTATGTTATTGGTGGTAGGTGAACAATATGAATAATGTAGTACTACTCTATGTCACGGAACTGTACAAATAGAAATAATTGAGATAGAATATTTTTATTATGTATATTTTCAACACACACACAAAGAATAAGACGCACCTCTACATACTGAATTAAATTTTATTTTAAAAGGTAAAGCTTTATACATTCTTTTAAAACTGAAAATTCAAAAGTTTTAGAGTTAATTACAAAGCTGTTTATAGCAGGAATTAAAGTAGTGCTAACATTTGTCAGTGTAAAATGTCACAGAATTCAAATCACAACTTAGGTCCTCCATGATTCAAATGTTTTATCTCACAAAATAAAAGGTTGGTCAGTTTTAAGATCAAAACCCTCTGGGCAGCCTTGTCCTGGGGATCCTTCAGTATCATGATCCATCAAGTCACACCGTGGGATAGCTAGCTGCTGTGGCAATTCCACAGTGGTTGTTCTGGTCTTTAGCCATCTTTACATAGCCATTCGTGCCCCAACTTGAACCCCAGCTGAAAAAAAAAAAAGAGCAGGCTTTCTGTTTTATACAAAGAAACAAATACATCTTAGATTTATTAATAGCAATAGCTAATACCTAAATGGTGCTTGGAGTCCTGGTGTGATGCTATAGAATAAGCACTGGACTTCAAGGTCAGTTTGAATCACAAAGCCAGTGGTTCAAACTCACCAGCCACTCATCAAAAACCCTATACAGGGTTGCTGTGTCGGAACTGACTTGATAGCATTTAACAACAACAAATAGTGCTCACTATAGGCTAGACAGTAGTCTAAGTTCTGTGCCATATATTTATGCCCTTAACTTTCAAAGATGAAAAATTGAGGCAGAATTGGGATTCCAATATATGTACATGTCTTCACCAGTTATATTATATAACATCACAAAGAACTTAAGTTTTCAAAATTGATACCAATTATACTCAAGGCCTCTGAGGGCTGAAAAGTAAAGTTGATGGAAGGGCATCAAATGATAACTGAAAGACTATACAAAGGCCATTGGACTCTTGTATAATCTTTCAGATTTAACAGAAAGAAAAAGGACTGGCAAATGTTTCTACTCAAAATACCTTCTTGTGGTGCAGTGAATTACCTGATAAGGCTCTTCTAGTCTTTGTAATTGCGACTAAATGACTGGGGAAGACCATGCAAATGTAGGTGTTTGCATTCTACCAAGGGGATTGAATAGCTTGCTAATATAATGTAAATAAGGTGAATGGTACCCTTATGGGGTGGTTTCATGCAAATAGTTTATGGAACCCTAAAATGTTGTGGCATAGATTGAACTGTGTCCCCCTAAGTATGTGTCAAGTTGGCTGCACCATAATCTCAGTGGTGTGACAGTTAAGTAATAATGTAGTCCCCCATCCATGAAGTGATCAGCCCTGATATAATTATCTTATGTGTTGTAAATCCTCATTTCTATGATGTTAATGTGCTGTAGGATAAACACTGGACTGCTACACACAAGGTGAGTGTTTCAAAACTCACCAGTTGCTCCTTGGAAACCCCATACAAGGTTGGTGGCTTTGAGTTGAAACCATTTGATAGCATTTAACAATGTTGTTAATGAAGCTGGATGACATCTACAGGATTAGGTGGTATCTTGAGTCAAACTTTTTTGCACGATAAAAGAGACTAAACAAGCAAGCAGAGCTCAGAGGCACCTACTACCACTAAGAAAGAACAGTTGCTAGTAGTGTGTCCTTCGGACCTAGGATCCTTGTGCTGTGAAGCTCCTAGATCCAGTAAAAGATTGAGGCCAAGAAATCTACAAGGATTTCTGGGCCTACAGATGTTGAAAGGAGACAAGGACCTTTTCTCCAGAGCCAACACTCTGAGCCAGTTAATACCACAATTATTCAAATTTACACACGAACCACTAAAGCCATTGAGGATGAAATAGAAGAATTCTATCATATTCTTCAATCTGAAATCAATCTTACATGCAATCAAGATTATTGACCATTACTGGTGATTGGAATGCAAAGGTTGGGAGCAAAGAGGAAGGATCAGTAGTTGGAAAATATGCTTTGGTGATAGAAATGATGCTGGAGAATGCATGATAGAATTCTGCAAAACCAATGATTTGTTCACTTCAAATACCTTCCTTAGACAGCATAAGAGATGACTATACACATGGACCTCACCAGATGGAATACATAGAAATCAAATTGACTACATCTGTGGAAAGAGAAGATGGAAAAGCTAAAATCATCATTGAAAACAAGGCTAGAGGCAGACTGTGGAACAGACCACCAATAACTCATATGCAAATTCAAACTGAAGCAGAAGAAAATGAAAACAAGTACACGAGAGCCAAAATATGATCTTTAATATATCCCATCTGAATTTAGAGATCATCTGAAGAACAGCTTTGATACATTAAACACTGAAGACCAAAGACCAGAAGAGTTGTGGAATGACATCAAGAACATCATACATGAAGAAAGCAAAAAGTCATTGAGAAGACAAGAAGGAAAAGATCAAAATGGATGTCAGAAGAGACACTGAAACTTGCTCTCCAGTGTCGAGATGCTACAGCAAATGGAAGAAATGAGGAAGTAAAAGAGATCAAGAAAAAAATTCAAATGGCAGCTCAAGAAGACAAAGTCAAGTATTACAATAAAATGTGCCTAGATCTGGAATCAGAAAACCAAAAATGAAGAACACGCTCAGCATTTCTCAAGCTGGGTAAATGAAGAAAAAATTCAAGCCTTGACTTTCATTATTGAATGATTCTCTGGGCAAATTATTGACTAATGCAGAAAGCATCAAAAGAAGATGGAAGGAATACACAGAGTCACTGTACCAATAGGAAATGGTTAATGTTCAACCATTTCAAGAGGTAGCATATGATCAAGAGCCAATGATACTGAAGGAAGAAGTCCAAGGTGCACTGAAGGAACTGGCAAAGAACAAGGCACCAGGAATTGATGGAATAAAAATTGAACTCTTTCAAGAAAGTGAGGTGGCACTGGAGGCACTCACTCATCTCTGCCAAGGAGTTTGGAAGGCAACTATCTGGCAGACTAATTGAACGAGACCCAAATTTGTGCCCACTGCAAAGAGAGGTGTCCCAACAGAATGCGGAAATCATCGGACAAATCTCTGATATCTTGTGCGAATAAAGTTTTGCTAAAGGTAATACAGAAATGGCTACAATCATACATTGACAGAGAACTTCCAGAGATTCAAGCCGGAATCAGAAGAGATTGTAGAACGAGGGATATCACTGCTGATGTCCGATGGATCTTGGCTGAAAGCAGAGAATATCAGAAAGATGTTTACCTGTGCTTTATTGACTATGCAAAGGCTTTCGATTGTGTGAATCATGACAAGCTATGGATAACATTGCAAAGTATGAGAATTCCGGAACACTTAATTGTGCTCATGAGGAATCTGTACCTGGACCAAGAGGCAGTTGTTCGAACAGAACATGGGAACACTGAATGTTTTAAAATTAAGAAAGGTGTGTAACAAGGTTGTATTCTTTCACCATACTTATTCAACCTGTATGCGGAGCAAATAATACAAGAAGCTGGGTTCTATGATGAAAAATGTGGCATCAGGATTGGAGGAAGACTCATTAACAACCTGCGATATGCACATGATACAATCTTGCTTGCTGAAAGTGAAGAGGACATAAAACACTTCCTGATGAAGATTGAAGAGCACAGCTTTCGGTATGGATTAAATCTCAATGTAAAGAAAACAAAAATCCTCACCACTGGACCTATAAATAACATTCTTATCAACGGAGAAAAGGTTGAAGTTGTCAGGGACTTCATTCTTCTTGGGTCAACTATCAACACTCACAGAAGCAGCAGTCAAGAGATCAAACGATGTATTGCATTAGGCAAATCTGCTGCACAAGACCTTTTTAAAGTGTTAAAAGAGCAAAGATGTCAGCTTGAGGACTAAGGTGCACATGCCTGACCCAAGCCATGGTATTTTCAATAATCTCACATGCATTCAAAAGCTGGACAGTTAATAAGGAAGACCATAGAAGAATTGATGCTTTTGAGCTGTGGTGTTGCAGGACAATATTGAAACTGTCATGGGCTACCAAAAGAACCAATAGAAGCATTTTGGGAGAAGTACAGCCCTCTAGAGTGTTCCTTGGGGGCCAAGATGGCCAAACTTCGTCTCTCATATTTCAGACAAATTGTCAGGGGAGACCAGTCACTGGAGAAGGATATCATGTTTGGTAAGGTGGAGGGTCAGAAAAAAGAGGAAGACCCCCAATGAGATGGACTGGCCTAGTGGCAGCGTTGATGGACTCAAGCGTGGCAACAGTAGTTAGGCTGGCCCAGGATCCGGCAGTGTTTTGTTCTGCTGTGCATAAAGTTGCTATGGGTCAGTACTGAGTCGATGGCACCTAACAACAACAACAACACTCTGAATTTGGACTTGTAGCCTCTCAAACTGTGAGAGAATAAATTTCTGGTTGTTAAACACATCCATACTTTGTTATATACAGCAGGACTAGATAGGTAAGACATGAGGATTGATCAACTTTGCTATCTGCTAGGTTTTTTAAAATGAAACATCTCAGAGCAGAAAGGGGGGATCTCACTACCTTCAAGAAAAAGATCCAGGAATGGAGCACATTCTTTGGGCCCCAAGATTCTTGTGCATTCAACCTTGTGGTGTAGTGAATTAGCTAATGTCTCTTGTAGCCAAAGTCTAACTCCCACCAATGTTCTGCTCTGCTGGGTCTGGGTAAGAGGAGATAGGATTAGATATGGATAAGATGACATAATTCAGTTATAGATACTAGCAGAGTTGACTGTAATTGTAAAAATCAAAACTCTAGATTGGGTAGAAAATAAACAATTTCAGAAGTAGGAGGGGGGATCTCACTCTATCAAAGAGGAACCAGTAGTTGAGTGTGTCCTTTGGATCTTAAGCCTTCTGAGCATTGAACCTCCTTGACCCAGGGCCAGAAAGCTGTGAAAAGAAAGACTTTGACACTGGAAGAGTGGTTGAGGAGCAGCAGTAGCAGAACCAAGATTCTGAGCACAAGACAGAGCAGTGGGCTTCACAGCCAATGGAGCAAGTAAAGCTGAGTGGCTTTGGGCAGAAAGCTTACTTGTACAGTAGGGTGCTTCCAGGCACTTAAGTGGGGGAATTAGACCCATGGAGCTAGAGCCAAGTGCCTTCAGGCTGCACCTTATTGTGGAGTGGTGTGCCCTGTGGAAATTTGTAAGCAGCTGACTTGAACGGTGCCATGAGCATTTTCTGATCCTGTATTGTAACCTTTCAATTTCGCTAATAAACCCCAGAGCTGTTAGTATAGTGTCTGAGTCCTGTGTGTCCACTACAATGAATTATCAAACCCAACTGAACAGAGAGGACTATGGGGGGAATAGATGGTGTCCTATTGTTTACAAATCTCCTCAATCCAGCAAGCAGAGAGCTGTATATACAAGAGATGGCAGAGCCACAGCAAAGATGTGGCAGCAGCAAAGAAAGCAAAACCAAGAGCACAAGACAGAGTGATGGGTTTCCTGCACAACAGAGTGAGAAAGTCAAGTGTTAAAGCCAAGTGCCCTCAGATGAAGACTTATTGGTAGAATGGAGCTGAGATCTAAAAGAGTTTTTTAGCACTGCCAAAACTGGGCATACCCCAAGGGGTAACATGGCTGAGAAGCCAAAGACCAGAGAAAGGCATGTTTGGGGGCATGGCTGAGAAAAGGCTTTCCTGACTGAAGAACTGTATCCTGAGTATACCTGATCCTGAGTTATAATCTGTTAACTTCCCTCAACAACAACAAACTTCCCTACTAAACCCCATAATCATGAATATTGTCTGCGAGTTCTATGCGGCCACTGCAGCAGATAGAACCCAGCAGAGAAGTAGACAATCATCTGGGAGCAACGGATGGTGTCAGATTGGTAAAGACGGTTGTCGGGTGGACCCATGTCTGACCTCTGCTTTATAGGAATCAGTCTTGGGCTGATGCTGAGTTTGATCTCCTTCCCCCTGTGTAGTCATTGTTGTGCTTAAGTGGCTTGGAGTCATTTCTGACTCATAGTGACCCTGTATAGGGTTTCCCAAGGAGTGGAAGGTGTAAAGATAGAGGAGGTAGTCAAATGTTGTCTCTATGTCATTTTTATGCTTGTTGAAAAATCAGAGAAAATAAAATGAAAGTAGCCCTCAACTATACAAGTCCACAATCCTTTATTTGAAATTTTTGGGACCAGATAGGGTTCTATAAAAAAAAATTCAGAAATTAGAAATGTAATGTTAAAAATACAATATTAATAATACCAGCAAGCTTGATATAAAATCTTAGAATCAAATGTTAATACTGTGTGTCCACCCTAAGTGGGAGTTAAGACTTTCTGGAATTTTAAATTGAACTTAAGGATTTGTGGACCTGTATCCACATACTGATTCCAAACAAGGATTCCCTCTTTAATTTCAAATATAAGTATAATATTTGTTGTTTTATACCTGTTCTTGACAATCCAGTATTTGTTGTTTGCTGAATCTTTTCCTTCATAGCCATAGCCAACCACCAGGACACCATGATCCAGGTCTTTGCTGCTGCAATCTGGTTCATAATAAATGCCTGCAGGAGTGAAATTCATCACTGGGCAGTGAAACTCATCATTGGGGAGTGAAATTCATCATTGAGGAGTGAAATTCAGCACTGGGGTGAGCAGCTCCCAGAGACTGCGTGGTATGACATGAGGTGACATGACATGACCGGATGGGAGCCCAGTTTATCAATCTCAGGGAGGGAGGTATCACTAACCCAGTAAAATGCATAAGCAAACTCCTGCTAAGACTTCCTCAAATCACAGAAATCAATTCAAGCTAAGTCCAATATGTTATTTTCTATTTTACTAAAAACAACAACAATAAGAAGAAATCCCTACAGATTCCCAAAAATGAGATCTTGAGATCTATAGGTAATCTAGAATGAAATACAAATGATTTACTAGCTGAAATACAAATCAGCAAAATCCTCTCCCAATTATAAGATGTCAGTCTAATGAAACAGCACACAAAAAAAGACAAAACAAAGTATCTGAGTCACAGAATTCTTTTTAGTCCTAATAGGTCCAAATTATATTCCCAATTGTATAGTTCAACTCCTTTTTGGTTTTAATATTCAAGATGGATCAGCTAAGTAAATCTACAGAATAAATTACATATTCATTTAAAAAGCATAGAAGAGTTTGTAATTATGAGAAAATGCTTAAAGAATAATGTCAAATAGAAACATCAAGTAAAAATGGCAGCATGGATAGTACAAATTTAACTGTGTTAAATGAGGTGAAAACTCTTCATTTGAAAGCAGGAATCCATACCAGAGCTAATCATGGTGGTATGTTTTTCCACTTCTGCCATAATTTCTGCAATCAAAATACAACACTTACCTGATTTATAGAACTGGAAGGACTCATGACCTGCATCAATAGCGACAGAGACAGGGCCCACAGTTGCCACTGCCTTCATCAGTGCCTTCTCCCGTGGAGGGATGTCCACAAAGCCAGTGTCATTGGCAACAGAATATTCAGGCTTGTAGTTACAGGTCTGTGTGTCCTGTAAAGGTTAACAGAAAAGTGACATGATTATTACCACCCACCATCTGGGGAAGATGAGTTCTAGGACCACAAGACTCAATACATTGCAACTTAATGATTCCCAAAGTCAACTTTGTTATAAAATAACCCAAGAAGTGAAATGTTATTGGTGGGTTTGAAATTGACACTCTTCAATGGGTTGCCCACAAGAAATTTTTATTATGAAAAAGAGTGCATTATAAGCAGAATAATACGTATATTCTGTGCTAGATAGAGGTCAGAGAACCGTGCCAAAGCTAGCAAGTTACAATGACTGTTCTGACAGCTGCATATATAGATCCTACCATCTCAAATGTAAATGCTGAATATCATTTTATCTCCAAAAGAGTTCAACTTCCTAAAGGCACAGCTGGAATGATAGCAAGATAAGGAGAGCCATTTACCGTTGCAAGATATGGATAGGAAGCCTCTGAATCAATGCCTAGGTTGTCCTTAACATACTGGAAAGCATAATCCATGAGGCCACCATTGCAGCCATTATTGCCTTCAGACCGGGAGCAGTCCACCAGATTCTGCTCACTGAGGGAAACAAGTTTGCCAGTTTTCCGGAACATCTGTCCTTCAAGAGCACCAGTTGCACTAAAAGCCCAGCAAGAACCACACTGACCCTAAAAAGGCAATTTTAAAAATTGTCAGTATATAAAATAAATGGGAAGACTTTGACAACAGCCCATATATGTCTGAATACCCTGAGGAAAGAAGAAAAAGAAAGAAAAAAAAAAAAAAAACGTGAACTGCATGTCACTCCATAGCCTAGCAAAGCAATGAGGTCAATTTCTTTTTGGTTTTAACATTCAAGATGGATCTGAATCTGAATCATATCCTACCTGATTCTTCACAGGAGTCACATAGCCTTTCTGAGTCCAATCCACAGATTTGGGGACCTCAAGAAAGACAGGCTCACGGAACATCTTTCCCTTCTTGTGTTTCTGGTTTTGAAATCCATTCATCACCTGCCTAAATTCTTCATTGGTCTTCAAAGAAAAGTAAATAAAATGTTGATAAAGTAGGAGAGTATTTTGCTAAAGTACTGAGCAGAGGAAATGCAGAATTAAGTAATCAGTAAACTCCATACTTACCATGTCACCAAAGGCATTCATGGCCATCGTGAAGCCATGCTTCCCTTGGCTGTATTCCCGATTGTGTAGTTCAATCATCTTCATATTCTTCTCCCACACTGATCTCCTCCAACCACCTTCATCCTATAGGTAAACAACTGATTGTCTTTATTTTCACTAACACCTAACCCTCCTCACCAAACAGATCAGTAGATGGGAGAGAGTTCTCTGGGTACTCTCCTCCTAGTTCTGACATACAAACCATTACCCACATTGATCTCAGAAATAGGCACCATGAAGGTAAGCCTTTTAAAGAGCTGTCCTCTAGAACTTCTTATCTGGTTCCCAACCAGCAAGGACCATTCTCTCTGAAATTTCTCTGGACAGTTTCAGATGATACCAACCGTGCTATATGGTCTCTTATATGTTGACTTCCACTGGTTCCATTGTGCATCTAAATTTTGATCATGTTCTAGAGCAGCTGAGGCGATACCCAGACAAAGGGCAGCCAGAAAGTATGAAAAACCCATGCTTCAAAAACCTAGGAAGGAAAAAAGAATGAGCATCTGATTAAGCATTCATTTTTAAAAGTCATCTCATTCACTTGGAAAAGTTATAATAAAAACACTGAAATTATCTTTCCAAGTATTTCTAAAAAGATTGTGGAAGAAGGCTAAGGAACTGGGTAGAGGAAAAAACAGGTCAAGGACTTACCAAATGGTAGTGATATCCGATTCAGTCTTAGGAACTATCTAGGAAATGGTCAGTCAAGTTTGTTAACTTAAAAAAGTACTGAGGTTGGCCAAAGCAAAAACTCATTAAGTAGAACATATGATCCGTAGTTGTTGTTAAGTGCATTTGAACCGCCAACCTTGTGGTTCAAACTGACCTTGCAGCCCAGCACATTAACCTGCAGCGCCACATCAGGGGACAAGGAAATTCCCAAGAATTTTGAGTGACCCCGCCCCCCTTATCCAGGGATTAAGGTAAGTAAGAGCCCTAAACACTGATAATGTTTGGTGCCCTTCCTCTGTTTACTCACCCATTCAAATTGGATATGTGAGTTTTATATATATCCATGTACATATATGTATGTGCGTGCATGTGTGTGCTTTAGCTCTTCATGATGTAACAGGGTTTCTGAGACTAAATCTTTTAAGGGAGCAAAAAGCCTCATCTTTGTCCCTTGGAGCATCTTGTTGTTGTGTGCCGTGGAGTCGGTTCCGACTCATAGTGACTCTACAAAGGGTTTCCGAGGCTGCAAATCTTTACGGGAGCAGACCGCCTCATCTTTCTCCCGCGGAGCGGCTGGTAGTTTCGAACTGCTGACCTTGCGGCTCGCAGCCCGATTCGTAACCACTACTCTACCAGAGCTCCTAGCAGATTAGAATTGCTACCTTGTGATTAGCAATCCAATTTGTAATCCAGTATGCTTACCAAGAATCCTTCTTTTTAAACAATATCAATTAATTTCTTAGAAGAAAGTCAGTCTGAAGGAAAAGTTAAAATAAAATACATTCATATGATTTTTATTTTCTAAATATTCATTTGAAAGACATCTGGTGGTGTAGTGGGTTATGTGTTGGGTTATATGTTGGGTTGTGAACTGAGAAAGATGAGGCTTTCTGTTCCTGTACAGATTTACATCCTCAGAAACCTGATACAGGGTCCACATGAGTTGGGAGTTGACTCTTGACACACAACAACCACCACGATGAAATATTCATTTGAGCCTTGGTGTGGCACTATAGGAAAAGTGGTAGACTGGTAACTGCACAGTCAGTAGTTCAAACCAATCAGCTGCTCTTGGAAACCCTATACAGAGTTGCTAGAAGTTAGAACACATTCAATAAAAACAACAAATATTCACTTATTTCCTGAATGTTTAATTTTCTTATATGCATATTCTGTACCATAAAAATTGAGTTCTTCATCCTTCTAATGTGCCCAAGGAGTCCCAGTGTGGTGCTGTAGGATAAGCACTGGACTGCTAACAAGATCAGCAGTTCAAACCCACCAGCTACTCCTTGGAAACCCTATGCAGGGTCACTATGAGTTGGAACCAACTTGACAGCATTTAACAACAACATGCCCAAAATCTCACTTATTAGCATATAGAGCATGGTGTAATATTAAGCACTGTGTTCTGTACAATAGACAAGAAAAGTGAATATAAATTGATATTCAAATTAAAACTTGTATTAGATAAATATTAATATTTCCTCTATATTTTGGACATATTATTAGGTATTATATTACCTATGTTAGTATTATATTAAGTGAATGCTAAACAGCATCATATATATCAAACATATTTTAAAGTTAAAGTTATAAATGTTATTTACAAAATCTAGGACCTAGCTATACATAAATGTGATAGTTAAAATAACTTGGTTGACTTATTTGATATCCCCCACTTTTTATGAGTCATCTGGAACTGGAGCTCCCATTGGCTGTTTACCAGGGCATATGCAAAAGCATACCCTTGTGTTTACATCATAACAAAGAGCTTTGCTGGCCAGGAGACCTTTTATCTATTAATGAGGACCTTTCATCTGTTAATATAATCCACCCATTAACTGCTCATGTTGGATCCAATTGCATATTGGGTGCATGTAGCAAGAGCTAGACTGGATAGCTCACCCCCACCTCTTGTTTATTAGAAAGAAACAGTACACTCCCAAGAAACGCACAAAGATAGCAAACACCCAAACTAAACTCACTGTCATCCAGTGGATTCCAATTCCTAGTGACCCTACAGGACAGAGTAGAACTGCTCCTTAAAATTTCCAAGGCAGTAAATCTTTTGGGCGCAGACAGCCTCATCATTTTCCCACAAAGCAGCTGGTGGGTTTGAACTGCTTACCCTGCGGTTAGCAGTCTAACATTTACACAGGAGGGGAGCATGGGAGACAGTACTGAAGTGGTGGGTGTCCTCCTGATGCTCCTGAGCTTTTATTTCCCTTCTGAACATTCTCTGGTACTGGAGCTGCTATCAGTTCTATGCAGCGCCCTTCCAATTCCCTTCCACTGCAGTGCTGGCTTTTTTCCTGTGCTGTTTGCTTTGGACAACTGGTGTATATATATATATATATATATATATATTTATATAATTTTTTTTGATGCAATGCCCTAAGCACGTGCTTACCTCACTTATTGGGCAATCCGTCCCTGCCCACACCGATCTTGTTACCTAACATACAGCAGCGAAAACATATTTAAAACTCCCCTTTTTTTCAAGTCTCTGTTTTGCTTCTTGATTTGAAACATTGCCTGCTATCCCCACTTTAACGCGTGTTGCCAACTCCCACTCCTCTAAATTACCAGGAACGTGGCTGCCCCGCTGGATCCACGGTCCCCAGCCCCCCTCAGTTGGACAGGGGCATTGTGCTCCGGGGCTCAGAGGAGCTGTCCTGGACCGGGTCCCACACCAGGCGTCATGCTGGGCCTGCTCCTGGGCCCTCCTTTACTGCGGCGCAGGAAGCGGCGCGCAGGGTAAAGGCGGGATCCGGCCCGCAGACAGTGCGGTCAGGGACCGGGACCCTCTGCCACCGCGGCCTCGAGGCCCGCCTGCTCCGCCACCCAAACCGCCTCCCTTCTGCCCCGGCCAGGGCCCGCAGGGCTGGGGGCCAGTCAGAACCAGACATCGCTGGCCCCGGACAAACACTCTTCCCGAGGGTCGCGCTGGCTGCCTCGCTGGGGTCTCTACAAGGGTCCTCTCTTCCCCGGCCTGCCCACGCCGCACCTCAACCCCAACCAGGGCGCTCACCTGCGGCGGCCAAGACTAGCGCAGGCGCAGTCTGCAGAAATGGGTAGGGGTCACAGTTGCCCAGGATTGTTGTGATGGGCTGTAGACTGGGCCTTTAAAAGCGTGGGGTTGCGGCCCGGCCGACCCGCCCACATCGCCTTCCATCTTCACGATTGGCTGCAGCGGTGCCTGGGCGTGGCCTCTGGGCACCGTGACTCGACTCCCGGCAGCATGACTCGGTGCCCAGGCGCGTGACGCGACTCAGTCTCTACTTGTCCCAGGCGGGCGTGTTCGCCCCAGTGAACTCTGGCAGGGAGGACGGGGGGAGGCGAGCCGAGCCGAGCCGGGAAGTCGAGGCCGCGCGGAGGAGAGGTGGAGTGCTTCCCGGTGGTGCAGAAAAATTAATTACTAATTAATGTACTCCGCAAGTTACTGAAAGCAGTGCCAGCCAAACCATCCATGTCCTTTTGTAATAGAACGTGTTGTACAGTTTTTACCACTACAAAACAAACAAACTGGAGGGCCTATTCATTCTTGCTTAAAACAAAAATGAATTTCTGTGGAAGAATGAAGAGCCAGGCGCTTTACCTCTCAATTTTGGGGTGGAATGTAGGTTTTGGAAAACTCTGGTCAGGAAAGCCAGTTTCTATGACGGGACCACTATTGTTGTTGTTATGTGCCGTGGAGTCAGTTCCGGTTCCGATTCATAGTCGACCCTGACTTTACTGGAAAGCCTCATCTTTCTCCCACGAAACAGCGGAACTTATGAACCTGAGGTTCGCAACCCGATATGTAACCACTACGCTACCAGAGCTTCTTGTGACCAATATAGTCAAGGCCTAAATCCCTAGAGGAAATTTTAACTAGACTGAGTGGGTCCAAACAGCAAACTGGGTGACACTTTTGTTTGTTTGTTTTCCTTTTCTAGTTTAAGAGTTCTCTTTTCTCACAAGTTTTTCTCAAAACCTTCAGAAACAAATTATTTATAGGAGGGGGAAATGATTGCGGAAAATAGATTACTGTATTCCTCAGTATCCAGGCTGTTGATTTTGTGATTTATTTTAAGAAATGTTATTTTAAGACTTATTTTAATGACATTTTATGTCAGGATTTAAATTACAGTTTGCGATTGTATATATATATATATCGAGGGTTAATGCAAAGTTGGTTTGAACCGCAAATTCAGCAGCTCAAGCTCACCAGCTGCTCCTCGGAAACCCTATATAGGGTCGCTATGGGTCAGAACCGACTTGTCGGCACTTAACAACAACAAGGTATGTGGTACTGTAGGATCAGTATCAGACTATGAACCACAAGGTTGGTGGTTCAAACCCACCAGCTGCTCTTTGGAAACCCTATATAGGGTCTTGATGAGTCGGAAGCGACTCAGCAGCACTTAATAACAAGGTATGGCACTGTAGGATAAGGACTGCTAACTGCAAGGTTGGCGGTTCCAATCCACTAGATGCGCTACGAGTTGGAACCTACTCAATTTAAGGAATTTAATCCAGAAGTATTGGAGTCCTGGTGTGGTGCTGTAGGATAAGCACTGGACTGCTAAAACCCCAAGGCCTGCTGCTTCTTGATATGCCTATACGGGGTCATTATGAGTCGGAACCAATTCCAGGGCACTTAACAAGAACAATCCAGAAGCATTTGTTTTTATTTTTTACTATATAAGAACATATTCATTGTAGAAAAACCTTAAAAAAAGAAAAACAACTCCACTTATTTCTTCCCTATAGCCCCTTTTCTATGAATATCAAACTTATTCTTTTTACA